TGAGAATCCTTGATGATACACATTTATAATGATTTGCCAATAAGGATGAAGCAACCGCACATTGCTCCTCAGAATCTCAGCACAGATGATTGACTTTATTTGAAGGACAAAATTTCCTTTATAAATTTAAAAATTTTCTCATACTATCAAAGTAACTTTTTACGTGGGTAAGGAACTGGTAACGACAGACTGTCGTGCATGCCTCAGCAAGTCACTCACTGGTTGTTTTCGTGTGTACAAAATAAAGAGTTTGAAAAATTCAAACCCGTGAAAGGAACTAACAGGTTTCAGCTAAAGCCGAAGCTCCACTCCTAATATTAGGAATTAGACTAATTTACAGAAAAAACACTGTAAATAATTTGCAAATCAATTACCAAACTATTCCTTCATTTAGAAGAGCGCGGGTGAGCACAGGTTTGCCAATCTATTTAATTTTGTCAGCTAATTGGGGTTTGGCCCCAATCCACAGTAAAGTTGCAAAACAAAAACTCAAATGCTCGTGCAAGCGATTTTTCTTACTAAGTTCTAACTCGACCGTGACCATTAGGCTTCCGACGAAGTACGGTCTTGGGTATCATCGGTGGCCCACATGCAACAGAAACCGATGTCTCATAACTAAAGGTAAGTCCAACTTTGGCTTGGTGATGTGAGCTGTCCTGAAGAAACTGGAGGTGACAGTGGTGTGGGTGGCGGTTCGTGTGCCTCGGCAACCCACTGAGCTATACTGGGGAGTGTCCGCACGATGCTCACAGAGTCTCTCACACCAGGTGGGTGAATGGGCGGAGGTCTGGCGAACACAGTCTCCTGGATCTCCAGACTGGGGGTTGGAACATATGTGGCGACGTGTTTCGGCCAAGACCGGCCTAAGACCGCTGCCTTGCGGGTAGGCTTTTGAGACGAAGGATTTGGTTGAGGACCCTGACCGTCCTCTTGTCCAGGTGTGGACACCCTAGCAGTATCCCAGCCCTCGTACAACCTCGAGGATTTGGTGGAGGACCCTGACCGTCCTCTTGTCCAGGTGTGGACACCCTAGCAGTATCCCAGCCCTCGTACAACCATGACAGTTACGGCTAACATTACTCTCATGCCACATCAGCTGTCACATGGTGCCATCAACTTAGTCGCCTTACCATTGCATACATCAGGGTGTAGTTTACGGCTGTGAAGCATCAGTGTCAACACTGATACTGCTGTCTTTGGTGATGATTGATGACGAAAATTTGAGTGTAAAAGCTGTTGTTTGCTCAAACTGAATCACGGAATGGGCAGAGAATTTTTCCCTTACGATTGCATGTATGGGCCCAGAAGGCACAATCAAGCATACAGTTGATAACGAACGTTCAATGCACTATTCAAACGCGCATATAGCGAAAAGTGAAACATACGAGAAGTGTTCGTATTTTTGGTGATGCTCAAAAATCTACATGTTAGTTAGATCTCTCAAGCAAATAGGTGTTCGGGGTAAGTTATTTCAATTTTGAGCTTGCTTCCAAAGATCGGAGAAACCCTGCAGAGCCAGAAATTCCCCTCCCCAACTCAGTTTTACTGAATGTGATATAAAAACGTTCGTACACTGGCACAATTTCGGGAATTCTATTTTCTCAATCCCAAGTTGTCTTTGATTACAAATTACTGACGCAGATCTTTCTGGTGATACTAGGGAACAATTGAAGAGTATGAATGTGTATGTCAGGACGCGCCCAGACATGGAAAAAGTACATGTGCAGAGAGTGACGCATCCCCAAGGTCACCATCGGTACGACACGTTCGGAAAGTAGGTGAGTTTGAGGCTCTCACCAAACACGGCTTAGCAACATACGACCAGCGTAGTGGGCCTGAGAGTGTTCACGACCGGAACACCACCATTGGCTGTACGGAGCGAACAAGTGAACGACCGTATTTGGCCATTTAGTCATCCTATATATTTACGCAGGCGCTCTGTATGTTTTGTCCTGGAAATACAGCCGTGTCCCGAGTTCTCTGTCTTCTCCCTATCGCGTAGTCTGGCAGGCTCAGTGGAGGTGTAACCCATAGACGGCCACCCACGATACAACAGAGTACGACAATGATGACGTAATTCCGGAAGAGTTTCACTTTTACCAAGTGAAACCTATTCATACCAAACTGAAAGTTTGACTAATATGGAGGTTGTTAGCCATCACCAGTTCCGAAACTGCGCTCGAATCCCATCAATCGCCTCCTAACGATGATGAACGACTGGTGTCTGACAAGTAGGAAACGTCAACAGATTCACAATTTCGATTACCATTAGATAAATGAGCCACAGTTTTTCAACTTCAGTGTGTTTTTCTCGCAACATGAGAAGTTTCTTCTTAGTGATGTCCCCATATCACATATCAATCTTTAGGATTACTCCTTTTCAAATTCAAAAATAGACAGGTTTCCCAACCCCTTTACTTGGATGAAAACAGAACTTTCATTGATATGGCATTGGTTGCGAACAATACTGGTCAAATTACCAAATCAGAGGGAACAGCCGCGCAGTTGTGACATTTAATAGAAAACTTGAGTGGACAAATAACTGAGAAATTCGCAGACAAATAAAATTTTCACCACAAGCGGGTATAATTTGTGGTGCCCGGAAGGTTGTACCTCGGTGGTATTGATGTTTTTTTTATTAAGCATTCACATGAAAGCGCCGACAGGCCCAACACTCTATCATGCTGGACTATTACCAAAATACCAGTGTAGACAAAAGATCAAAGCCGAGGCGGATGGTATGAGACCGACGATTACCGTGTGAAACACAAGCCAGGCTACAGGAACTAAAACGAGTCTGCGTAGTAAATGAATATAACCCATTAAAGAAACGTAGAGCATTGTCAAGGCAATCAATATATCAATACGACAACGAACAGCTACAGTCAATGGACACCTAGACAGGCAACTAACCGTATGAGCTAAAATGAGAAAAACATCTTCTATGGGTGTCATCGCGCATTTCTACCAGGTGGGCAAGAGCTTTTTTTGTATTCCTTACAAGACAGGGGGAGTGTTATATCTGCTGATTCGCCGGCCTGTGGTATCTGCTGTTGACCCGCTCCAGTGCCTAGCGTAGGAGAGTAAAAGGCTCACGGAAGGGAATACAATAGCTATATTCCAACAAAGTGGTTGCGAGAGCGCGAGTGCGTGCGAGTGCGAAAAGTACAACGGCCTCAAGCTTTTTATTGGAAGGACACTGTCTGAACTTGGTCCAATGCTGACGCACGCGGTCTGGCTTTAGTACGAGGCAGCGACGTGCTGCATATTGCGGGGCGTTGTCTGTCCTTGATCAACGCTGACTCGCGCTGTCTGGGTGTGATGCAAGGCTGTGACGCGCTGCATATTGTGGGGGCGTTGTCTGTCTGGTCAACACCCAGCGGAGCTGAGAGTCGCCGTAGATCCCGGGCGTTCAGTGGTTGCTTTCAGGATGCTGACCTTCCTGATAAGGAGTCGAGAGGCAAAGGTCGGCTTCGAACCACAGGCTTTCCGGTCAGTAGATTCCTGCTCTAACAACTCAGCCAACACGATGGGTTATCGGAAATAACAGTCATAACTGACATAGCTCGTTCCCTACGTGGGGAGGAACCAAACTACTTATTGCGCCTGATGAGTTGAATGGCCGAGAAAGTATCCAAAGAGATCAACTCCAAGTAACTCCAAGAAGCTTTCAGGTTTCCGTGCGACAGCATGGCAAAAAGGTAGTACAATTATCAAAACAGTTCGGGAACCGTCCTTTAAAGTCCTCGAATCCAAAGTTCTATACGAGATTAGCAAGATATCGGCCTGTGTACAGCACATTCAGTTGTAGAAGATCATAAATGCGAGATTCAATTGAGTCTCTCGTGAAAACCAAATTGATTTGCAAATGAGCGTATTTCTCGAAAACAGTCCTATTTGGGTTCAAGTAGAACATAAGTCTGACGGAAACTCGGGGACTGCGCCTACCGGATGAGCCCCAAGAAGGGCGAAACCGGTCGTGGGCTTTCGAAGAGTTTTCAGCAATCTTGTGAGTAGTTTCCTTTATGAAAATATACTGCGATGTCTCGAATATCGTGCCAACTGAATCATGAGGCAGCCTGTGTGCAGCACATTCAGTTGTAGAATATCATAAACGAGAGATTCAGTTGAGTCTCTTGTGAAAACCAAATTGATTTGACCACTTGCTGTGAGAGATGACAGACGCTTAGGAGTAAAACTACCTTTATCCTAGTATTTGGCATGCGTAGGGCAGTCTGGCCACCCACTCGACGCCTCATTGATGATGTCAGTGCTCGATTGGTATTGAAACATTTGCGATCTAACTGTTAAGCTCGGCGAACAGACCAAGTAGCGCACCCGAGCAACATATATTCCAAAACATTGCCAGTTTAATAAATTGTCTTCATTCAGGATATTCAATTTGTTGGGAGAATAATGAGACTCTTCTAATGGAGGCTGAGTACGGCGCCATCTGGTCTTTTGTGTTGATGCAAATTCCTTTGGAGTTGTACTTCTTTGTAGACTAAAATATATGAGAAAGACTAGAGAGGGACGTCAGAGAATTCAATCACGCGAACTGTTTGTGGTTCACCAACTCTCATACACACAAAGTACAAACAGTGGGCTAAGCTTTGTTCTATTTAGGTGTGTCAAAGGCAAGCTCTTTCGAGCACAAACGGACTAAGTCTTTGGAATAAAATAAGTTTATGAGAGACAAATATCGTGTGTATGTTTCTTCTTACTTAGACTTGTTGTTATGACTGTAGCCAGACGTCATTACGTATCTGTTTTAACTGGGCCAGATGGTAATTCGGTCGGAAACTACTGTGGCCGGCTAGTATGTTTGGCAAAGGTGGGACGCTCAATATAATGTTTTATTCCCAGAATCCTAGTCCAGCGGGGGATGCAGATAGCCAGACCGTTTTGGTCGGTCCGTAGCTTAAGTCGACCTTCGGCAGACCCTCATCATATTCTTCTTGAAAAGCGAACTTTTTGATAGTCAAAGGAGTATATTTTATCATTCACCGGGAGGAGTGGAATGAATTGCACAGAAATGCATGGAATTTCTGCAGGGGACTTGGGATTTCGATTGTAAAATGAAACGAACCACCGAATCGAATGCGTTCATTATATCCTGGTAAACGTGTTGAAGGTGGTCCACTGGAATTTGGCTCTGGAAAAAAAAACGGGAAAAACGAGTGCTGTTCACGGATAATCGAACAAACACATACGCTGTATTACGGTCGGCATGTAAATATAGCTAATCCCTTCGGTGTAAAACAGATGAGAACGCTTCGAGGGAAATGAACAAGGAAATCCATTGGATGGATTTGCAAAGTTCAACAGATGATATTTTCCACAATGAAACAAAAGAATGTCGTTTACTTTGATTTTAGTAGTATCGCACCACCAGTCCTCGTATAGTAACCCACATATGGCTTTCGAAAGCAATGCCTATGTCGAGCACCCTGGTCAGGCCAGTCCAAATCAATTGAAAAATTCGACAGTTCACAGTAAATATGGGAGTCAGAGTACGCAAGACGGTACAGATCCCCAGAATGAGGGAGAGCTTAACCTATTGTGGTTGTCGGTGAGTTGGTTCAACCGACGAATGTGCAGAGGCAGTTTTCCGGCCGGCAGTGCGGCCAGAGCGAAATTCGGTAGTGAAGACATCTTTTCACGGGTTGACCCTCTGGTTCCTTCACGATCTGTCCTCGTAATACAGCTGTACATTACAGTAGAAGAAAAACTCTACAAACTGATTTTTCGGTAGGCCGTAGGATTCAGGAACAAGCACGGCAATCAATCGGAACACGGTATATGGGGCAACGGCGACTATACACCTGAGTGAAAATTAATTCTGATGAGATTTCCGTGTTACGGTATTGAAATGTGTGTTTCACAGCCTAAGCGCTTTCTCCTGTAGAAGCCATTCTTGTGTTGGCAGTAGTGGGTGGCGGCCCTAAACCGCCGCACAGCGAACCCCGGAATACGTAAGTTGGTGCCAGATGCAGAATAGAGCTCCAGTGTTTGAACTGGGTGGGCCAGAATGTAAGGCTTCGTTGTGATACTGATGTTTAGACATCTAAAACTCTCAGGAATCTATTTGGAACTAGCGAATGCTCTAAATGGGTTACGGAGAAAACTGAAGTTGAATCAAAGTTTGGCGCTTTTGTGTGTGCACACAACATTCGAAATCATGTTCTTCAAGTTCGCTTGGCAGAGGAGTAGGAGGAAGATCACGAAACGCTTCGGTGCTGTCGGTGCTACTCGCCTTCCAGGATGGGGACCGCGTGATCCTCACTGTGCCTGGTTGGAGACACTACAAGATATGGCTGCCAACCGATGTCAATGGCGTTCNCGATTTATCAACCCTCTTTTGAACTGTAGGAAAAAGAGACCCTAAAATCTGCTGATCAAACGAACAAGGATTACTTATACGAGAAATAAACTCAATTGCAAATAAATTTGATTTTTCGAGAGACTCACCTGGAACACAGCTGCTTCTCTCGTTTAGGATGTTTCCAAATTTGTTTGCAAAGGAGTCTGTTTCGCCCATTTCGGGCAATTCGGGTTCAAGTAAAACAAAAGGTTGACGGAAACTCGAAGACTGCACCCACCTGATGAGTCCCAAGAAGGACAAAACCAGTCGTGGGCTGTCGAACAGTTTTCAGCAACCTTGTGAGTAGTGTATAAGGATTATTCATATGTGAGATTGTACATCTATGAAGCCCAAAGAAATTTCCACAACAATTATTTTTTCGTGAGTGCAAGCACTGTAGAGTGAACAATATGGCAAATCAGATATCGGGGATAACTGAATACCCAAGATTAAATAGAGAACATTCAAAAATACTATAGTTACTTTCTCTCAAGTAGTAAGCATAGTATAAGCACCAACCCCCGCGAATAACTGGCAGCGTGAACAGCTAGCGTGAGACAGGAACTCACTTGATTTAATAGATTAGCACACAGACTTGGCCACGAAGAAGCCACTTCGATTGAATGCGCAACATCTGCTTCGGAACAGATATGGTTACCATCGGAAGTATTTTCCAAAACCGGTATTGCTGAGGTAAGCTGATCCAATTCATCCAGTGAAAGACCCAGGATTTCCGCGGCTCTGGATTTTGCTTGGGCCAAACTTCGTGCACTTGGGAGGCTGGATGCGTCTGAAGATTGATGTGAAAATGCCACATGATAACCATGTGAAACTCGGCTGTACAGAGTACTCCTTTCCTACTGATACCTTGGAAATTCCGAGAGAACTAGGTCCTATTCCAGAGCTGATCATACGATGGATGATCAAACAATCCAAACCTAGTAGGTTTCGTACACAGCGGTACGGTTGTGTTGTAGAGGGAGTCGTTGTGGGGAAGTTAGTAGGATAAAGGACGTGTCCATACCATGTACTTGGAAGTCACAAGACTACGGTTATTCCAGTAGGGCTTAGATCAGATTACCTGACAGAGGTGATGTCGGCGGTCCATTCGTTCCCGAGTGATGGCCAATATGTGTTCGTATCTCCCGTAAAGCGTAGCAAGCGAGTTTTGACAGATCTGTTGTCAGTGACAGGACCAAACGCTTGAGTTGATTTTGCTACGAAGAGAAACAAAACGATTTGTTTGTTAAGCACATTCACCGCGATTCTTCTCACCGACAGATTGTGGAGAAATAACAACACCGCAAGAAGTGTATTCTAACCCGCCCCTTTCACTCAAACAGTTGTCTTGCTGGGAATTGGAAAAATCGCTTCCCCCTCACTACTACTGAAAGAAGGGCTTCTCCGCGGATTTATTTATTCGGAAACACCAACTGACCGGTTACAGACCATTGAACAGGGAAGCAAAACTCTAATCTGCATCTTAGTTACAAAAACTGGACACCGATCTTCTCCCGAACGAGTCTTCTTGAACCTTCCTGGAGATTCATTGACTCCACTCATTCGTCGGTCAAATCCAAGCAAATATTACAAAGTGGCTCCACGAATTCCGCAACAGATCTCCTTTTTTCAATGGGCGCAAAGCGAAATTCTACGAACAGCACGTGCTACTCGCGTGCTTCCCCGTCAGTAGTATCACCATTACACTACTATCGCTCAACTTGCTACATCCACCGGAAGTAAAATGAAATGAAGGTGTAAATTATGAGCCATCTTTTCCGGAATGTCCAAAACATCTACATGGTCAACTTTATAAACTCAGACATCCTGAGTTGATGTTCCGAATAATAGATCTTTATTTTAATCACACTAGTGTAAACGGTTTCATATTCCTACCTGGAAACCAAACGAATGGTAGTTTCCAATTGAATGTCTAGTCGGCATTTTGTCACAGTCGGAAGTGAACTTGCGAGTTTTACCGCAAATTGTCTGCGTGCACGGGTCAGTTCACTGGCAAAATCAACCATGTACTGATGCGACATGTGATTACGCCTCCCATGGCCAGCATAAACAAGGCATACCCCACGAAAAAAACAGTCTGATATAAACTATTGTTTATTATCAATTCCGTAACATATATTCCGGTTTCGTATTCACCGAACAGCTTGAGTCATTGTCATAGTTTAATGATCGCTGAAGGCCACTACTTGCAACCGCAGTTGCCTACTGGTTGAATAGTTTTTTTTCAGCAATAACTACCTCCCGAATTTCCGAGAAACTCGCATTTGCTAAATGTCAGAAAGGGAGGCTCTTTGGCGGACATGTGACTCTGCAAAGTGTGGCATACAGAGTGAACAACGGAAGCGAGACAGCAACTGAATCTGCGATCGCCCACTTGCCGAGCGGAAACTGTGATCAGGGACAGTAAATTATCAAGTGGATTGCGCTAACTGGGGCCACCGGTAGAGTAACTGACGCATATAAACTGGAGACTCGGTGAACCAGTAGCGTGTTGAAAAGCGAATCGAGTGGATCACTGGAGACTCGGTGAACCAGTAGCGTGTTGGAAAGCGAATCGAGTATCATCATTCGTAGGCAATGGCGGCCCTAGTGCAGCACAGAATCGTTCATTAAAATCAAACAAGTATAAAAAATGAGTGTATTTCGAAAAACAATCGTATAATTTGAGTTCATGTGGAGTGCGAAGTGAGCCCAAAAGCCTCTGAGACGGTCGAAGACAGGCAACCACCTTTCAACCAAGTAATGAGTAGTATTTCTTTAGGAAAATCTACTGGGATCTCGCGGATATCTTCCCAGATGAAAGGAGATAATTGGCTTCAACGTAGACGAATCAGAAGCACGTCATGAATTTGACAAATTTAGGCATTCAAAGAACAAACAAATCTCGTGCAGAACACTCAACCATAGCTGGCGGCAAGCGAAGTTATCTCCGGCTCAAAGGTTCAGACATCGACTCCTGTGCTGCAGTTGTTTGATTTTCGTGAATTATTTGAATAGCCTCCCGAAAGGGGCTATTTGCTTCATAGTCACACCACTCTCGTTTGAACGGTCGTGTTCCTGTTCTGGAGTAATTATTCCCGTGAGTCCACACCAAAGGGAAGCACTGGACTCGAGTTTCGCTCCTATTAGAGCTCATCAGGAGTGCATATCTAATGGCCGTGTCGGGATGCGTGTGCCACGCTACTTGACTGGGAAGTCACAACCAGGACAGTTACTGGGTCGTCGTTTCGATGACGTGTCGGTCACACCAATCACAACGCTCAAGTGTGATCACGTTCGCCTGTTCAGACGTGATAACTCAGATGCGTCCAACGTGCGTTGGTGGAGTAGTGGTTACACGCTCGCCTCGCATGTCAGATGTCCGGGGTTCAAATCCCGGCGCGGCCATTGGATATGCACTACTTATGAGTTCTAATGGGAGCAAAACTCGAGTGCAGTGCTTCCCTTTGGTGTGGACTCACCGGAATAATTACTCCAGAACGGGAACACGACCGTTCAAACGAGAGTGGTGTGACTATGAACAAAATACCTATCCCGCAAAACCCCAAAATAGATGCCAGTCACAATCTATTATGAGATTACCTGCTAACTGTGTGACGTAATTGTTTGTTTCCCTATTCCTCAGCCTAATTCATCTCCCTTCCGTTGACTGCTCAATTTCCAAGACTGAACCGTTCTATTTTATACAAAGTTGACCCTACCTCAACCATTTTCTATGGACGATTTGTTTACATTTAGTTCCGAGCTTGTTGTTGAAAATTTGTCCCACTTTGAAATGAGCAACAATTTTCCCGCTTAATTTGTCCAATAGCACACTGCCCTTCGTGTGCCATCCTGTGTTGCCAGCTGCCCAAGGTTCAATCTAGCCTTAAGCCTTTCTTTAATTCTCCTTACGATTTACCGATAATTTCCTATAGAACCACGGTTTACCTATCTATACTGTCTGTCCACATCTGATTCCATATATTTACCACTGCCCAATTGCGACTACTTATGAAACTCAGGTAAAGTGACCGTCCGTTGGTGAATTAAACCACACGTTGCCTGTCAGATAGGACCCCTAGATCGTGCGTTCAGGCTAATTAACCAGTTCCTTACTTTAAGATCACGACCTTAGCACAGGATCGTACATTACCTATGAAGAGGAACCATCTTTGTAAAGCATCTATAAACCGTTTCACCGTGTGTTCCTATTATTCCCGGTTTACTGAAATTCCTAATGTGATTCATTTTAGCAGTGATTTTAACACTTGTCTCAGCTTTCATATAATTCAAATACCTTTGACTTGAGTTATTGTGCCAAAAAGTTTCCTTGTAATGTACTACTCATAAGGTTGCTGAAAATCCATCGACCGCCCACGACGGCTTTCGCTGTTTTTGTACATGTATCACGATATGTCGAGTATCGTAGTGACTGGAACATGAGGCGGCCTGGTGTAGCACATTCAGTTGCCTGAGAACAACACAAACGAGAGATTCAGCCGGGTTCCAGGTGAGTCTCTCGAAAATAAAACCAAAGTAGTTTGCAAATGAGTGTATATTCGATACTTTCGTGCAATTTGGTTTCAAGTAAAACATAAGGTTGACGGAAACCCGGGGACTGCGCCTACCTGATGAGCCCCAAAAAGGGTGAAACCGGTCTCTCCACAGGATGTCTACTTACATAGGACGTCTTGTTTGGGTAGGTGCGTCTTGGTAGATATTGTAGCGTTCCTGTTGAGCTCACCACAGAATGAGTTACCACAGATCTGGTCAACTCTACAACAGCTGATGGAAATGCTACCCGTATCAAACGTACAGTTATAAACCAGACTGGTGTTTTGCTGAGAGAAAGTGATGGACGTACGTTTTCTACAAAAGTACGTTTTTATCTATGGAATCGCGTCGGGTTACGGCGTCCACCGACCATCTTGCCATTTGTACACTGTTAAACCGATCCGAGACCACATGGATCTCAGTTCTGCCGTGTGTTCCCGCTACACCTTAGGTTGCGAGAACACACGCTGAATTTTGTGCAGGAGTAAATTTCTGGAAAACCTACCCCGAGTTTCTCCATCGTAACGATATCACGTTCCGGATGTTTAGGATTTTTTAAGGCCTGTGCAATTTCATCATAAGCCTCGCGACATTCATGCAGTTGCTCGGTAAGGGCACGTTTTTCACACAAAGCGGTCTTCAGCTGCATTCGCTGGCTTTCTACCTCTGTGCGGAGACGCCCTTCTGCCATTTTTGCTTCATTCGATTCCTTTATAGTGGAGGCCTGCAGGATACGCGAAGAACACGTGTTAACCAACGTTGTCGGCTGGAAGGAAGACATTCTACGTTGCCAGTAATAACTTAAAATTTTAGTTCAAAATCACACAGAGATTTATGAATAAGTTTTTATCTAGGCACACGAGTGGCTCAAGATGGATTGCAGGGTGAGAATACCGAGTAAAGTATCCTATCTACCGGTTAACCAGAGAACAGCTAAGCACTTTTATTGCCATATGCGAAAGGGTAAAGCGGTCTTGGGGACTAATAGTCCACATGAACGTTAAAGACACGCCACTAATCAGAACGACGGATATCGAACACCGTATCATACGAGAAATATTGGGTTTCTACGGTGCGACCAATCCACTTTCGTGTATGATCCCACTGGTGAACTTGTGTGGGAATTAGTTCAGGTTGGCGAAATGCTACCACGATTTCATAGAGCTTTATGTAACCGAAACACCGATTCATCATCATCTTCATCATCATCATTATCATCATCATCATCATCACCATCATCATCAGCTGTAAGAACTGCGTACTTGTCGTACAGTGTAGATAGATGCCACTGTTTCGCTCACCGACGATTCAGCGAGGTGGGGTAGGTTGCTCCTCAGTGGAGGCGGCAGCTGATAAATTAGTGCGTGAATACAGCACTGTCAGGGGACTGTTAAGTGGGGGAATTGAGAAGAGAGCTATGCATTGGAGGCAATAGCTTGGATGCAGGAGCGCCACTGAGGGCGCGAATGGGAGATGTTTGACCAACCATTGATGTGGCCCATCTCACGGTCTGTTGTGTCTTGCGGAATGGCAGTGCAACTCTGTATCGGTCCCTTGGCTTCCTGCTCCACCCACTATGGTGTGTCAAAAGGCACGGTAGCTCTAGACAGCCCTTTAGGAAGACAAAGGAGAATCATTACAACTGTATTCATAGGGTAGTCACAGAGTGTTCCACAAGGTCGTGCCAGAATCTCCGTGATGAGGCGAGAAGCGTCTAGTCAAAGATGCTCGACTCGTATCGGCTGGCATTCTGACTAATCAGAGCATGCCTTCGTTTGGTTCGTGTCCTGCACATGACATCCGTCTAAATGATGTGCTGTTCGGTTATTAGGGACGGCTGTCCTCTGAACACGGTCCCCATCCAGGAAGACGGCAATGAGCAGTGCAACCGAGTTTGCTAGTAATGGCTTTGATACTTCACTGCCGAGTCATCGTTTGACCACCACTGGATCGTTCCCATCCTTCTCGTGGCTATGCGAATAGAACCCTTCGAGGAAGTCGGTTGACGCAGCACGTGGTTAAGCCAGCGCAACCGATACACTGTGATCAGTTCATCTATCGAGAGGGTGAGTTACTTCATCCGAATGCCATTCAACATACTTCAGCACTGCTGATCCGGTGTTCCCACCAGACTCAGGCAATGTTCCGAAGACATCGATGATCAAACACTGAAAGCCTTTTGACGTCCTCAGCGCGCAACGGCCAGGTTTCTGATCCGTATAGTAGTACGGAGCGCACCGCAGCATTGTAAACTCGACCCTTGACGAATCAACTAATAGTACGTCAACGCCACCAGTGAAAAACTATTCACATTACAGACCAGTTTACGCAATATCAGGGAGGTGTTGTGTTGCATTCACTCCCAAGATTGTTACCGAAATTCAGTGGAGTTGAAATGCGGTGCAGAGTGGACATGGCATGAGAACACTGCATATTTACAGATATTTGGATCCCTCTCCGCAAACCTCCATCAAAATAAACATCATATTGTGAGTCAGTTCGGTTTTCCTCTCCTCGCTTTTATCGAGGGGTTCAACAGAATTTTCGAAGTACTATCGTTAGAGCATACCAGGTCGTTTTCACCAGAGATGTGCCATGAGGCCAAAAAGCAGTTCCATGTTTAGAACTCAAGAAACGTCGCACCGAAATCGCTTTTCAAGTCCTCAAACCTTAAAATAACGACAACTGGCAGTTTCCTTCCGCTTCTGATGATTCTGTCTGTGATAGGTTGCAAGACCAAGATAATTTGAGAAGACAGGAAGTCCATTTTATACATTTGAATAACATCGGAAGAAGAATCGACTGCCGAGTATTGACATTTTGTCATCATTTCTTCAGGGGCGATATTTAAAACCATCCAACCATACATGGGAATAGATAACACCAAAACAGTGAAACACAGCCAGTCGAATGGCGTAAAATCTAATAGACTGGTACAGATTTTGGGTCACTGCTATTCCCATGCTTTTGACCAAGAGTACACACAATAGCACTACAGACGTGGGTCAGTGGACGTGTATTCACAGAACAAGATTGCCCCACACAACGATTCATATTTACCACCTCGCCGGTTATCAGCACACCGGGATATGGGAACTGATTACCTTTTCATTCATCAACAAAAGGCCATTTCTACCGTTTCAAAGCAGTGAGATTCTATCGATAGACAATAACTACAAACTTATAGCTGTTCGGAAGAATTACACCTACGAATGGGCAGACAATCTCGTAACCTTCATGGCTAGTCAGTAATGGTTGTTTTTTTCCAAAGAGGTCAGTGAAATCACATCAGATAATGTGTACAGGGACCAGGAGCATCGAGCTGGGCGGTTGTTTCCTTGTGTAACGCTTGTTTTCTATTTGTGTGCGGTGTGATGGGAGATCCTATCGTGACAGCAAACACGGAGAACGGGGAGAGACTAACAATAATCTCGTAGACTGGTGAGATGTTATCTCAGCACATGTATGGACCATCACCAAGACCAACCCCAGTGCGTTCAGTTTAAAAATACCAAGAATCCGATGACGCGGCAGAGTTTGCCAGAACCCCAAAAGGAATCCATACAGATACACCGAAACCGATAATTGAAAAAAGTTCTTCACAGAGAACTGGATAGCCATAGTATTAGTGTTGTATTCGCTATGATTTACAATGCACGTCACTAGATAGTTATCACTATCTACAAAGATTAGCCTTCTGAATGGTCCCTTTGAAGTTCCATTGATGTCTGTGATCCTGGGCAGACTAGCCTCTTCACCCTTACATGTGATAAGCGGCAGTATGCTCAGATCCTTCCTCAAAAGCAACAAATAATGACCAAAAGGGAAATTAGATCCAATGGGGAAGAACAACGTTATATACAGGATCCAATGCAAAGACTGCGACAAACGGCATGTGGAACAAACAGGAAGAAAGCTCTCCACCGGAATATATGAACACAAGCTCGCCACTAAAAGCCACGACCAATTCTCCCTCATCCCCGCACACAAAGATCAGGAAGGACGTGAGTTCGACTGAAGCGGCGTTCGCATACTGGCTCAAGCAAGAACAAAAAGAGAACGCGAATTTATGGAAGCGTAGTACTCCACCGAAGAAGCCATCAACAAACACATCGAAATTGATCCCATTTACCAGCCACTAAGAGCGAGAGAACGTCAGAATCACAGAGATCAGAGCTGCAAAAGTAACCAGACAAGGAACTCATAGGAGACGCAGGAAAGCACCATTCAAAAGGACACATCAATTGGATTGGAGGAGGCACCCAAACAAAGCACCAAATCAACCGGCGGACGTAGTGACATCAACCGCCACGGTGGAGGAAATAGGGCGGTACAAGCAACCAATCAAACTCTAGAACGTCAGACCACAACGCAATGCGAATCAACGCCAGAGAAAACAAGCTACTAAAATTACAGAGCGTTGAGATAACCAATCAACGCAGAGGAACACACAACGTAACGTAACAAAGATCACAAACGGGCTAATAGATTCACTAGATTCGTTACACTTCCAGTAGCCAGTCACGTCAGAAGATAACAGATAGCCTCCGAATGCTATATAAACGCACGTAGGCAAGGGAGAAGTACCGATACAACTGCGCACTGATGATGTCTCCTCGTATGGTGACGAAACGTTTGCAAGCCAATTGCCAAGCTCGGCGAACAGATCAACAGCCACCTTGTCAACAACCAATAATAATTCACCATTCCACTCTTTCAACTGGGCATTGTGGGGTTTTTGGATGTTGCCTAAATTCAACTCGAGACCGCAGACGAATGTTTAACTCAAACAACCAGTGGGTACATATTCACATCATTTGGTTTGATACACTATCACATATGGATAGACGAAGCCAATAACTGGCGGGATTCAAACAAGACTATCGAAAGGGGTGGGTCTAAAATGTGCCTTTCGCCAGACCGAATGAAGCAAAAACAAGTTTGCATTACAACAAACAAGACGCATCGTACATTGGATAGGAGCAAAGCAAAACCATTCCTAAGTCAACAATGAATGTCATTTCAACATTGGAACCACTCAGTACCATAACTGCGTGAGCAACCGGATTTTTTGTCTCGTGTGCCTTTCTTGGGGACGTCAACCTGGCGAGACCCGATACGCAAGGATGATTTTGGGTGATCTAGACTTCCAGGAACCCACCGGCCTGTTGACACGCAGCTGTGAAGCACTCACTATTGGTGCATATCCACCGAGATTTAGTATGAATAAACCAAACAATTCCCTCGAATATACCAACCACGAAGATACAAGAGATAAGAGTCAGGTGAGGCAAATGACCAGACAGCTAGTAATCTAACTCTGACGGAAGAATTACAACGTCTTTGAATGTCTTAAACGTATGCACAAAAACATGCTCGCCTCGTCACGAGAGGCCATCTCTTAGATGAGCCTAGTCTTTGTCCACCACTTCGACAAGGTCTGTTCAGAAGGGAATTATTCGCCGGCAATTCTCAGTTTACAGAAAAAATGACCATGTTGTTGTGTTAGAAATTTTTCTCTCATTTTCCGGTGCCATAAAGATGAGGACTCATTATATGAAGGTCGTAACGAGGATTATATGGCACGAACTAAATATAGCAACTATGAAGTTGTAAAGGGAGAAATACAGCTGCACATCAGCCTACTGAGCAGTGGAACAATCATGTGAAACAGTGCCGTGCAATTACGCCCACACGTCCGAATCACGTGGGACTTGATCAGGTACCGGAGAAAGGTCAAAAAGGGACACATGAAGTTCACGCCCACTCCATGACCAAGGCATACAAGCGCACAGACGGCCATCTATGGTCAACCGAGACAGAGGAACAACCGTCCGAGAACCGGCGTGGTCGTGCAAGAGGTACACTGGTTGGTTGAGAGCAGATTGACCATCAAATACGGTCACAAGTGAATCATATAAATAGAACGTTGTAATTGCATTAATACACAGTTTTTCGGGCCACCTTCTTGTCTTCTGGCTATAGCCCAGTATCGTCAGGGAAGGTGAAGAGATACAACAGGGAGATATAGTAAGAGTTTGTATAAGCGCTGAGTTTCGAGCTTAGTCCGATGTTAGTTACACCTACGTTCCCACAGAACAACGAATTCGAGAGACAGGAGACTACGCGTGATATTTGCCCATGATTTCTGAGGCGACGTCAACTTATTATTGAGGGTACTCACCAGTTTAGTTTCCAGAAGCTTCTGCGCATTCCTGGTGTCTGTAAGTGACTTCCTGAGTTCCTCGATTAATCCTCGACGTCGGTTAGACTGCCGAGAAGTCTCCAGGAGTTTGTGATGCAGTTCCTTCATCGAGGTTCCGTGTCGTTTCAGATGTTCTTTCAAGCGTGTGGCCAGCGAGCGAGAAGTTTCGTAGATTATTCTCTAAGGTTCAAAACAGAAGTATGCACGGTGAAAACCCCTTCGTTACGCACATAAGAGCTTGGTGTTGGTGCGGTTCCTCATTGGATCAAAATCATTTCACTATCGAAGAACACACCAGTGCCGACCTGCCACCAACCACCTCAACATGAGAGCACAGAAAAACACACTACTGATTACAACTGGCCCTTTTGTGTTTGGGGTGTTTTTTGCAATAGGTCGAATCACATTTTCACGTTAAACGGATGGTAGAGTGTTTGGGATGGGCACACAGGCTAATATATTACATCCAAACTAAACTATACCAAAGGCAATGAGTTCCGTTTGCTTTACCGGACATCAGCAAGGCGCGGGGAGCACAGATTGTACCTTTAAGTTCATTAACGCCTCCTTCATTAAGACTAGGTCACCACAAACATAGCTTTCAGCGGTCTTTCCCGTGCACGCGATAGTACTGACTTGCCAGTCAGAAGCGATTCATCAATTCTGATATAAATTCTGTAAAAAAACACTCAGTGACTGGCAGCAGATGTCGGATGAGCTCAATCTTCTGTGCTTACTGAAGCCGGTGAATTTTGTGTGGTGTTCACCAAACAAACCGGTCCCGTATTCCTTTAATTTCTACAAAGAAAGCCGAAATGCCAGCTTCCATCGCAGATCGAGCAATGTTCATCCGGGTGATCTGAAATCTCGATCAGATGGATGACATCTGGCTGGAATAAACCAATAGTTGAACTGGCCCATCCGCTGTCACACTCACTTGCTTTTAACTGTCTAGAAAGATTTTGCTTTGTATCGCTGGGCGGATCAAACTATTTTTTTCCAAAGACTAGAATCAGCTTGACATGGATCAGAAGAACAAACACTCCACCAAAGAATTTTGATGTCATCATCGATCGGAAACGTAAGCAACGAACGAGCGGAGCCAACTGTGCTCAGCTATACGCTTAATCCAAGTTCCCTAAGGTTGGCTTACCATAGCGGCCCAACAATTCACGAAATAACCTGGCCAAGTAAATCGTGGGGGGGGGGGACATTGGTCACTCAACCGGCAACTCGCACGTTTCCAACCCAACGACACCTTCAGTTTGTGCAAATGAGAAGTATGGGCATCTTTCGATTTTCAACATTCCCCTCTACAAGGGACCACTGACTTAGTAGGCAGGCACCCAGCCTGAAGTCCCTTCGCGGAAATCTTTTACGAAATTCGTCGGAGATATCCACAAAGGATATACAATTGTTCGTTGACGGGCGATTGCCCAAAGGGGAAGAGTTCCCACGGATGGTTCGTTTAGGCAGTTTTTGCTGTTATGTTTTGTGTCTATCATCGGGAACTGAGCACGCACGACGTGAAGAGAATGGTACGTGTGGCGTCTATGAATGCGTAAGACGGATACAAACGATACAGACTATATTTAAGGTCATAACCGGCCATCGAATTCACTAGTACTGAAAATGTGAAAGACAAGACACTTGCTAGTCGTACACTTGCCACTGCAAAGTGAGTGTCTTTCAGGAGTTTCTTTCAAAGTTGTGATAGAAGAATGCTTGTAGAAATTCTTTCTATACGTGTAGGCTAAATACATCTCATTTGGACTGTGGAAGTCAAATTTGAACATTTTTTTGTAATGCACTACTCATAAGGTTGCTGAAAACTTCTCGACAGCCCACAGCGATATCTCGAATATCGTAGCGACGGAAACATGAGGCGGCCTGGTGCAGCACATTCAGTTGCCTGGATACATCACAAATGAGAGGCTCAGCTGGGTTCCAGGTGAGTCTCTCAAAAAGCCAAATTGGTTTGCAAATGAGTGTATATTTGCAAATTTGAACATCTTCAAACTTGCCTGGGAAAGAGAGGATATTCTGGTGCTTTTTGTCACTAATCAGCTTTTCTCATCCGGTTCCAAGTTATCAATGATCCCTAGAACGAACCGGTTGCTATTTAAAGACGACGATATTTCGGACAGACGTACTGTGTGGCTTACCTGATAACAAAAAACTGGTCTACTCATTCTGACCAGCCGAACTTCATCGACTAGTAAGACTGCGCGTGGGGAATCACGTGAGTAAATTGGCTGATTTACGAAAACATCAGCTGATCACAAAGGAAACTACTCACAAGGTTGCTGAAAACTCTTCGACAACCTTGTGAGTAGTTGCCTCTATGGAAATATACTGCGATATCTCGAATATCGTGCGAACTGAATCATGAGGCGGCCTGTGTGCAGCACATTCAGCTGGAGGACATCATAAACGAGAGATTCAATTGAGTCTCCCGTGAAAACCAAATTAATTTGCAAATGAGTGTATTTCTCGAAGATCAGCTGATCACACTTTCTAATAGAGTTTATTGAACGAAAGGTGAAAATTCCTCTCCCGAGGTGTAGGACCGGGATATGGTATACAGAGAGATGAGAGAAACAGAACTGATCGTTCGATTGCAACCCGTTTTTTCCGACCGTCCACCCGCACACCGATAATCTTAAGCTGTTACAATGTAGTGCAGTCTGCCAAAGGTTCATCACAATGACCGGTCATTTCTGTCCAACGGATTAAAATAAACTTTCCGCGATCGATTGTGTAGCATTTGACGTGGCAGCAATCACAATTGAGTTCTTTTCGGGGCGAAAGCTACAGAGCACAAGCTTAGACTCGCAGTGCGGCACTAATCTTACGGAACAGTGACCGTTCAGGTGATGGCCTGAGATGCACTCACTAAGAGTGCCCGGGACTCTAATACTACAATTAATGCATCGGGAAAGGACACTCCAAATCTGTTTTTCATTCTGCAAGGATGTGCATTTCCAGCAATGAGTTGCGCAGTTTTACAGCTTCGTGGTTGATTGGGTAAAATTGTCAGGTACGTTCTCCACTTCAAATGACTTTATTACAGGAGGTTGATTGAAAACCAATCCGGATCATCCTTTGTTTAGCTAGATAGATAGATAAAAGTACCGGGTTAATAGTACTAGGAGTAAGTCATCAATAAGTAAACTTTAGAAACAATATTTTGATACGCCAGTTAGTGTCCCTAACTCGATGTTATGGACTAACGCTGGTAAAATGTAAATCCTGATGGACGGTTGATCCTGGATGTTATATCTTCTGATTCGCCAACCTCTTGTGTCTGACTGCTGACACGCTCCAGTGCCTGATGCCGGAGAAAAAAGACTCACAGAAGGGAACACAACCGCTATATTCCGAACAAGCGCGTGCGAGTGCGAATGTACAACTGTCTCAAGCTATTTATTGGAGGGACACTGTCTGAACGCGGTCCAACGCTGACGCACACCGTCTGGCTTTGGTATGAGGCTGTGACGTGCTGCATATTGCAGGGGCGTTGTCTGACCTTGATCAACGCTGTCTCGCTGGGTTTGATACAGGGCTGTGAGGCGCTGCATAGTAAGGGGGTGTCGTCTGTCTGGCCAACATCTGGCGGAGCAGAGAGTCTCGGTGGATTTCGTGCATTCGGTGGTTGTTTTCAGGATGCTGACCTTCCTGATACTCAAGAACACAAGACGACTCTATCGGAACGTTTTGCTTCCTCACTCTTTGTGAACGAGATAAATCGACTGATCTTCGTTGGTAGCTGTAGATGGCCTCTGAGACATTAAACTTGCACGCCACATCACATATGATCGAGGAGAAGTGGATTTTGTTAGAAAGAGCTTGCCGATTTGAGTACTTCACTGGATGAAAACCTGATCATCTTTGAGTTACCACTCACAGGATAACAACTGGTTATCGCTCAGCCGAATAAGGGATGAGTAAATTGTTTAGCAGAACCAAGACTGGTGAAAAACAGCCACTAGGAAAGGAATCGTCTTACTTTCAGCTCCCACACCAACTAATAAGTGAGCAAGCAGCGATCAGCGAACCACGTTAATTCGCCGTGCAAGCGAAACTAACAAAGGGTAATGAGGTAGGACACTCGCACTTTCAGCCTTGGGTCAAATGATAAAAGGCAGACTCACGTGAGACTGGACACGTTGCGTATCGCTGGAGTCATGCTGTGAGGCCATTGACTGCACTGACTCAACCTCACTTATTTCTTGATCACATTCTTGGAGAAGGTTTTCCAATTTTTGAAGACAACTTGTCAAATGCTGATTTAAAAATGAAGTGATACCAAGAAGACACACTGAAAAGAATCTACGTTTCACAAGACCTCAAGAAATCACATAGTTTTTATTAAGCTGTAATACTTTCATCCTGCGAAACTTTGAAAAGACAAGATAAGCAAGGTGGATCGGTCGAAAGAATTACGTAGAATGAGTAATCCCGCTGTTGAGCTCCCCGATGCGAAGGTTAGAATCACCCGTAGGTTGGACGATCTCGGATATCAAAAGGAAGAATTGTGTTCGAAAGTTTGCGGTACTACTTACACAAAGTTAAGCAAAATTGCCCAAGTCTGTCGCTGACCGACACAGTAGAGTGTCAAGGTCAGCGGAATGTTGGCTCCGTTGTGTTCATCATCACTTCCGAGGACAGTCTCGTGATTCCCCTTGGCGGTACGATCGATCACGTGGAACTCATTGCAGAACAAGTCAGGATAGGCTCAGCGAACGGGACACGGGTAAGTAGGTCAGTCACGCACATTTACACCCTCACACAAGCTAGTGAACCGATGTCGAACGGGACGGCCTTTGTGGTAAGGTGAATGGCAGGTGCAGATGAGTGAAACAAGAGGAGATTAAAAGTACACGGATGGAGTATGCAAACGAATGGGGGAACTATCATGGGGTCAAGTTAGATTCAAGTACACCTTATGCAGACTGTTGTGTAGAATACCACTGATCACCATGCACTGGGTCAAGTCTAAAAGATGACCGTCAAAAATCGTCTCTTTGTGGAGCAATTCTTTCGGTAAAACTAGCAAACTCAAGATACACCGTCGCACGGAATTGAATCAGACTGCCTAATGTTTTATCAGGACGTATAGTAAGACATATAGAGACGATTACCTGAATTGTGCGCTGGGACCGTTGTTCCCTTTGGCGACTGGTGTGTAGTGCATTCACAACGTTTTGCAACTGGGTAGAAAGCTCGCTGCATTGTTTTTCGATCGATTGCTTTGATGAACGATACGCATTGAGCTACGGGGTTGAATTTTTAAAAAAGGCGAGGTTGATAGTTCGTAAAGACAGGTAAACAACATGCATGAATTTTCCGTTACAAACACTTTGTCGCATTATTCAAGCGCCAGAACAGGATAGATGTCCCTAGTGACATGCTCACAATTGCAAGTTTTGCTTGTGGATGGGATTTTGAAGGAACCCCCTTATGAAGTTGTAACTTGACCTGCAACGTGTTTCTCAAAGTTACGCAGAGTTCCCGCCACGGTCTATAAGTCTGCTGACACCGCGCAATAACGAGAAAAAAAGCATCGCAAATCGAAACTGCTATATCAGCTGATTCGCCAACCTGAGGTATCTGCTGCTGACCCGCTCCAGTGCCTAGTTGCCGAAACAAGACCCACAGAAGGGAACACAACAGCTATATTACGAACAACGAGTGCGAGAGCTTGAGTGCGTGCGAGTGCGAATGTACAACGGTCTCAAGCTATTTATTGGAGGGATACTGTCTGAACTCCATCCAAAGCTGACGCACTCGGTCTGGCTGCAACGTGCTGCATATTGCGGGGAGCGTTGTTTGATCTTGACCAGCGCTGACTCGCGCTGTCTGGGTTTGATACAGGGCTGAGACGCGCTGCATATTGCGGGGGCGTTGTCTGTTTGGTCAACATCTAGCGCAGCTGAGAGTCTCAGTAGATTTCGGGCATTCAGTGGTTGCTTTCAGGAAGCTGACATACCTGATAGAAGCCGTCTTAACCAATGACCAGACTTAAACAATGGTCGATCGCAGACTGGACATGTGGCGAAGTACATGAATGGTGGAAGCGAGGAATCCAAATGACGTTTTGACATATATTTATCCATAAAAAGTCAAACAACCCAGCGGAATATATCAAAACGTTGAGAAGAACAAAAGTCAATAGAGAGGAACGAATAAGATCATACAAGAAAGCTGGGGACAAGACGGGCGACTCCAAACCACACACACACACACACACCAAACTCAGGGCTCCCGCAGGCCCTTTAGGGAAGCCAGTAAGCCGTCGACCGATCAGGAACAGAACACAGAGCGACACTGTTCCCCATGTAAATACCAATCACCCAGCTGGATAAGCACCCATAGCTTTAAAGTTTGGGAGCACAAATTAACGTAGAAATTCATGAGGAGCGAAAAGCACAGTGTTTATCGTTCGTAATACACTACTCATAAGGTTGCTGAATTTTTTTCACAGCTCATCACTGGTTCCGCCCTTCTTAGGACTGATCAGCTGGGTTTCCGTCAAACTTATGTTCTACTTGAGACAAAAATGCACTAAAGTAGCGAAATACACTCATTTGCAAACAAATCCGGTTTCGCGACTCACCTGGAACCAAGCTTGATCTCTCGTTCATGATGTCTTAGGCAACTGAATGTGCTGCACCAGGCTTCCACGTTTTTCAGTTGTTACGATGTTCGAGATATCGCGATACATATATAGACGCGATACACTACTCACAGGGTTGCTGAAAATTCTTCGACAGCCCACGATCAGTTTCGCCCTTCTTGGGGCTTATCACAAACGAGAGTTTCACCTGACTTCCAGCTGAGTCTCCCACAAAACCCAATTCGTCTGCAAATGAGTGCATTTCACAGGGTTTATCAGTTTTTCATCAACGGTGAATCTGTTGGCCATAACTCGATCTGTTCACCTCCTTGCACCGTTGACATCGACCTTGGACGTAACTTTTCAAATGTCCACATCGTATACTTAGCCACAGCCGACTTCAATGTAAAAAGTAACGAAACCAAGAGCTGTTGCAAGCTCAAAACAAGAGCATATCCTGATTCGCTTTGATCCACTGTCCCAACAGTTTGGCCACTTCACAAGTCGCTACGCGAGATAGGGGAGGTAATTCTGGTGAAAGGAAGAAGGCTAACACCAGCTGAACGGTTACAGACTGTTGGACAGGGAAGCGAAACTCTCATATGCATCTTGTTCACAAAAGCTGATTATTCATCTTCTCCTTGAATGCGTCTTCCAGAACTTTTTTGAATGTTCATTGACCGTTACTCAAATGCAAGCAAATGCTACAAAGCGGCTCCACAAATTCCGTAATAGATCTCACTTTTCAAGAGACGCGAAGAGGATTTACGAGAAAACATACTACTTACATGCCTCATCAGTAGTATCCACCGTTACACTGGTACTCACACTTCGGTCAATAGACAGGTAGACAAACAGACAGATACATCGCCACAATTAACAACCAGATTGTGAACTTCGACAATATTGACACCCCCGAATTTGAAAATAAAATGATCGAAAACAAACCGACCAACCTGTTGTGTGAGAGAATAGTTTCTCTGCTTCAGAGCAAGCAACTGGGAATCAAACTCCTCGGGAGAAAAGTTCTGGGATTGTGGGAAATTGTTGTTGGTGTTTCTGTACAACTCGAACAGTTGAGGTTCCATTCTGCAAAATGAGGAAGAGGGCGGCGACTATCGCGTATATGAATGCCAAGTTCCCGAACTTAATCTATTACCCTGTCTTGTCTCTTGAGCGAACTCGTCTGTTGCAGAAATCACAGAAGTCACAGTGATGGGGGTCTTTGGCTTTCTACGTTTATCGCTGTCCGACTGAGTAGATATGACGGCGAGCTTTCAATAAACATGAGTCATCATTTAAGAAGGCAGTTTGAGAGAAAGTTCACACTGTCCACTGCTGTAGGAGCATAGAGACAGTAAGCTGATCGATTTGGAACGTCCATTCGGGATTTCCCGGATGAATGGCAGACCGATGGCTCAAGTGGTCAGACCGCGAATTTACTGACCGGAAAGTCCGTGGTTCGAGTTCGACCTCTGCTTCTTGACTTCCCCAGTCTAGGCTTGGGCAGGCTGGCAGTATCTCAGCCCCCATGCTTCCCCTGGGTGGCATGGCGGCTAGGCACTGAAAGAGCGTTGTGGCCGAACGACTGAAAGAAGCCGTCCCTAGGAACTGCAAACATATCAGCTGACAGCTGCAGGGAAACGCTGGCGCATTACCCAGTACAGTCAAAATACTTCTAAAGGCCAAGAGGCCGATGCGGTTCAAAACCTACCAGCTGCACGCCTTATCTTCCGCGTCACCTGGCTAGGCCAGGTCCCCAGATCTAAATGAACCAAACACTAGAGAATTCCCGCAATGGATCGCTACGCTGGATACCTCAAGTTTGAGAGCCCTGCGTCAAAGTTGCGAGATATAATGCTCTGAGAAATGTAGATAACAAGTCTGCAAAGAAACCAATCTACAAATCACAGGTTAATATTTGTTATTGGTGTCATATTTGCCCCCCCCCCAAACACACACACCAAGTTTTTGTTGACGTGATATCCACTAAGCAGCAGTCCAATCTTAGAATAGTGGGGTGTGCCAAGACGGGTTTCACATACATTTAGAAGTAGGAAAATACGCACTGTGTAAAGCATATCGTAATGAAGAAAAAGCACTGAGAAAAGGCTTAACGAAAGAAGCTCAAGGATGGTAATTTCAAAAATTAGGAGAAGCTGTGGTTTTTCCATTCACTAATTTGGGTATTTAGGTGATGTAGGATGAACGGCTGACCCGCATGCTCGATCAAATGACACAATTTGTACACTACTTATAATGTTTACAGTAGGCGATGAATATTGCTTATCAGGTGGAGGAACGGGACATTCCGTAGAGAAATGGCCTCACAGGACACATTCGTCGGACGGAAGAAAAACTGAAAACCAGCTTAAGCTCTCGCTTATTATGTCCATCTACCTGACAGGACCCAAGACGGACAAAACCGGTCATGTGCTGTCAGCAACATTCTTAGTAATGTGTTACGGCTATATTAGGAAACAGAATGTTTTTTTCGTGCAACGATGAGGGAATAAACAACGAAAAACAGTCATTCTTTGGCTCAGTTGCCTAGTCGTGCGTTCGATGCGCAGAAGCAAGAGAATGAGTACATTAACATATTTTGGGCGTAGTGTACTCATTCTCCTGCTGCTGTGCAATGGAATACATTGGACGTACGACTAGGCGACTCAGTCAAAGAACGAAGGAACACAATCCACCCTGGCTAGCTTTTGGAACTAGGACGATATCCAGCTCAGTAGTGCAAACCCAGCAGACATGCCGCACAACGTGATACCCAGCCAAAGCTTCCGCATTGTATACGAGGCGCCAACTACTCAACCCAGATCAGTATAGCAACGCACAATCGCAGTGGCTGAAGCGATCGCTCTGGGACATTGAGACCGACCCTTTGTCGGCAAAGACACTTTGTTCGTGTGTTGAACTTGCCATGGTTCGACTCATCTCCCCTCACACCTACCGTGAGCTGAACACACAACCACAGCACACTGCCCGCGCTGACAGGCTCAAGTCATCCTATTGATGACCTGAACTGGTTGTTCTTTGATAGATGTCGTCTCTCACACGATTTCCTGTTCACGCACACCAGGCTCCCTCAAATAGGTTAACTACTGCTCTCTTGACATTTGCAACTGTACGACCTTGCCGAAAATATGTTGGTCAACTCAACTGTGTTCTTGTTACAGATGGGAATCTTCGAGAAAACAATCACCATTAGCGGATATACACTCATTTGCAAACTAATCTGGTTTTTCGAGAGACTCACCTGGATCCCAGCTGAATCTCTCGTTTGTGATGTTCTCAGGCAACTGAACGTGCTGTACGAGGCCGCCTCATGTTTCCATCGCTAAGATATTCGCACGTTAATTTGCCTGGAGACATCACAAACGATAGATTCAGCTGGGTTCCAGTTGAGTCTCTCGAAAAACCAGATTAGTTTGCAAATGAGTGTATATTCGCTAATTTCGTTCAATTTGGTTTCAAGTAGAACATAAGGTTGACGGAAACCCGGGGACTGCGCCTACCTGATGAGCCCCAAGAAGGGCGAAACTGGTCGTGGGCTGTCGACGAATTTTCAGCAACCTTATAAGTAGTACATTACAAACAATCATCATTGTTTGGGGAACCAATCTATCCGTTGCATTTCACATTTTATCGGTCTTGGAGCAGCAAATTTGTAGAAGTGGAGTGACAATTAGACAAACTGGTGAAAAAAGGTTGCAGTAAAACGTTTTTTGATCAAAATTATTCCGGTTATTGGTTGATCTAACACTAGAACAAGATGACTTCTTGTCATGATGTATTTGTGTTGTTTCACCGACCGCGTGGATGTAGAAGCTTCTTTAATGGCACGCAATATGTAATGTTCCAAAAACGTTGCACACCAAGTGGAATTCGGTGATTCCAATAAAACGTATCAAATTGGGGCTCAGTGCACAAACGGTAGATGTGTTTGAGGAGAACCGATTAGGATCAAAGCCGTTAAAGAGGCATGCAATCCGATGAGGTACACTAATCAACACACAATCAACACAAAACTGAAAATGAATAAGCCGAACAATGAAAGTCACCAACAGCAAACTCAGTTGCGCTGGTTATTGGCGAAAAGGTTAAAGACACTGGTAGACATGACCCAGGTGCGACCGTAGTGGCACTCAAGCCACCACCTTCGATGCATAGCTTCCCTCTCCAATTAAAAGCCCACTGACACCCCTGTATGTACACACCAATTATATCAGCTACCGCCTCCAATGCGTAGCCATCTAACTCATCTCTCCAAATCATCAGTGGCAGCTAGAACGGCCGTTCTGCAAGCACATGGCTCTCGTAGCTCATGATACTGATGACGCTGATGACGATGATGATGATGATGATGATGATGATGATGATGATGATGATGATGATGATGATGAACACGAAAAAGTACTTACCGCATTTCCGAGTCTAAACGTCTCTTCAAAATATCCACTTGCCTTCGAAGTGAAGTGTTCTGCTTCCGCAGTAAACTGATCTGGGAAATTGGCAAAGAACGGTTTGTTGATATGGTGAAAGGAGTGCGCATGATATGCGCGTGATCTACGGGAATGGACAAATTAGAGAACTTACTTTATAGTACACCGACCCATAAGGCATATCTGGGGGGAAAAACAAATCGAGACCAAACGAACTGTGGGTGTAAGCACATCCAATAGTACACCAACGTGTTGTGACAACTAAGGCTTTGTGTTACCCACTTAGAATGAAATGAGCAAATTCTAGCGTATTCCAGAGGTGACTGAACAGATTAACCACTTAAAAACGCATTTAATCGATGCACACAGCTACACAGTATCGTAGCAGTGTCCACAGTGGTCTGTCAGCTGGAGTAGAAACCGCACTGCGTCGTAAACTAACATAGTCCAAACAACTGATTGGTCCTCAATTCGTACGGTTCCAGTCCACAAAAAAGAAGAAAAAACTACTACAAGGTTGCT